ATTTTTAACAGCGGCATTTTCTTTTGAACTGCCAGGGGTTCAAGAAAAAACTTAAGTCATTTATAAATCAGTACATACGATTTAAGTCAGATAGAAACGATTTAAGTCAAAAAAAGATTTAAGTCTTTTTAGAAAATATTTAAGTCAGATTTTTCATATATTTTTTTATAAATTTTTAACAGCGGCATTTTCTTTTGAACTGCCAGGGGTTCACTTTAATTTCCTACCTACAATTGCTACCGCTAGTGGATAAAAAAACCGCCGCGGTAAAGTTAGCTTTTTGGAACCGTTTGACGGCTACATTAAAAAATGTCCTGTCTAAAATGAATAAAAAAAAGTGGGGATTTATAATTTTGTTATTTTGTTTGCCAACATTCGTTATGTTCGTGCGTAGTTATGTCTAATTTGTGATTATTAGTGCAAAGTGAAAACAATCTGAGCGGTCGTGAATCGAGAGTTTGGAACTTCCCATCATTACTCCCTTAAGGGAGGAATATTGTTTTTCTAGATGGATGTTGAACCAGCTAACAAAAGTAACAAAACAACAAGTTATCAGTTTTTGAAATACAGCGATTTTAAGAAAAATGCTTCAACTTTTATCTATTTTAACAGAGTTTGAATCCATTACCGTTTAGAAGTTACCCATTTATGTATATAAAAAAGTAGCCTCCCTGTATGTCTACTCTACTAAAAAAGGAGGTTTAAGTTTTTATTTTTATTGTCTAATATATACTCAAAAAATGTGTTTTAAGTTTTTATTTTGTTTGTAAGTGTTCTGAAAATAAATCGTTTTAAATTCTTAACATAGTGGTTTATTATCATCTGTATCTACAATAGATTAATAATATCAGTATCATTAATACCATAAAATTATTATTAACATTTAAAAAATCGTTGTATTGTAATTATTTTATTTAAATCACAATTTTTGATTCAAGTCATTTTATTGACTTAACTCTTAGATCACGATTTAAATAAAAAATATAGACTTAAGTCATAAAAACGACTTACTAAAGGAATTAAGTCATAAGATGACTTAAATCACTTTATATTGATTTAAGAATTTGCGAAAATGACTTGACTTAAAAGAAAATGATTTAATTCAAAGACTTAATACTTAAATCATTTGAACTTTATCTTAGAATTGACTTAAGATTTAAATCATTTTGATTTTAGAATTGACTTAAGACTTAAGATTTAAGTCTTTTTAAAACTGACTTGTTGCAGCTCTGAATAAGACGTACGTACGTACGTTACGCTGACGCTAACGATGCATATTGTATTCAGTTTTTCCCGACTTTTGCACCTAATTTTTTATATTCTGAAAAACTATTACGTCTTGATATTATAAATTCCTTTAAAGACTTAATTGCAGCTACTGCCGAATTAATATCCTATATATTCTTGTTTTGATTTTACACATACGATTATATAACCCATTTGCATCACAGCGTACCAGAGCGGTCAGTAATTGAATTAAAATAATTGAAAATATGTAATTGTATTACTTTTTGTAAGTAATTGAATTACCGAAAAAAATTGTATAATTGTAAATGATTTTTAAATTACTGAAAAAAAGTAATTGACAATAAATTTTAATAATTCTTAGGTAATTTAATTATTTTCAGAGTAATTAAATTACATAAAAGTAAGTGAAATACTTTTAGTAATTGAATTATTTGAAATTATTTATTTTTAATTAAGTTACCCAATAATTTTGCTTGTCTAAAACAATTTTGTTATAATATAAAGAACAAACGTTGAAATGTATATTTCTTAGAAGGTCTAGAATCTAGAAGAGTATTTTTGCAAGAGCTTTAAAAATATTTTACGAGTGGGTATGGTATATTTATGGATTTATTGGGTTATAGCCTTTAAGTCATCTTAAAAGAGAAAACAAATTTTATTCTTTTCACATGTTGGTTCACAACATGTGCACGAATTACTATGGCATTCATAGTATGAATTGAAGGGGTAAGAAGCAAACGGGTACAAGTGCATTTTAGCATGAAAATAAGTTAAATGCAGAATTGGGTAGTTTGGAGTCCATTATACAGGATGTTATGTAATTAATGTTATATATTAAAATGGGTTGTTCCTTAGGGTCCATAAAGAAGCACCTGAAACTTTTTTTTCTAAATTCCAAAGTCTAAAAATAATTTATAATAACCTTTATCCTACCAAAAAGTACGCCACTGATCGACTAGGAACTTTAGGCTAATCTAGTTGCGTAATTTAATTTATTATGTTATGATTAGTAACAACAGCGTTTCCAAAATCTGTCAAAAAAGTTGACAAACATTGTTTAAATTTAGCTTAATTACAAAAATGGCAAAATTAACAATGCAAATTGTCAATTTGGCGTTTTTATTAATTGTTGGTTTTGTCATTTTTGCACTGAAGGTAAATTCAAACAAAATCTGCACAACTTTTATGACAGAATCTAGTGCATTTTTTTCAAATTTTAGGTTATGTGCTCAAATTGTAAATATCTTAACTTTTGGATTTATTTACACAAATTAAATGTTTAAAGTTTAACCTGTGAACTGGTCCCAATTTCATCTGAGTAAACAGAAAGAAAAAAACTGATGAAAAAATTAATTTTGTGGTTATGGATTTTTTTAAATAGGTACTAAATTTTCTAATCATTGCTTAAGCTAATAGCTGGATGAGTAAATAAATACAGAAGGGTATTAGAGCTTTAATGGCATAAAACTTTTGTATTTATTGAGTTTTTATTTATTTTTTGCAAGAATAATTTTTAGTATGTAACAAATTTTTACATCTAGCAACGCGCAACTACTTTGTTGGTTGGTATCTATGTACTCACAGAACACAAGTGTGCAGAGATAAACCAAGTGTGTAACCAGTGGCGTATCACAAAAAATATAAAAAACTTCTAATGCATATTTTTTCTTAATCTTTGGAAAAATATTTTTTTAAATACTTTTCCTTTATTCCTTATGTAAAAAGGTATTCAGTATTTTAATATATAACATTAATTACATAACACCCTGTATATGCAAATGCAAATTTGCATATTTATATTTCATTAAATTCTGAGAAAAAAGTTCGAAAACATAATTTTAATTATGACAGCTCGTCACGATATCGTTAACGATAAAAGTGACGTGTCGTAAAGTGTCGGATGACGAGGAGTCTGGTCATTTTTTTCGTTATTCGTATCTTCTTTGTTACTATGGAAATGTTCAAACAATGGTTTCCTTCATCTTATGAAAAAATGCAACAATGACAATACGAATAACGAGTTGTCATAATTAAAAATATGTTTTCGAACTTTTTTCTCAGAATTCAATGAAATATTAGCATTTGGATATACTTATATTTAATAAACTCCCCTATTGTAAATGACAAATAGAATCCAATAACAAATAAGTACCTAATTGGTTTGAATTGGTTTGAAATGTGTTTTGGCGCTATGAATCACTAATTCATTCCAGTTGCATTCCTATTGGTAAGTTCCAATAAAGTCGCGGTTTAAATTGGAATATACCAATCCATGCCTATGCTTGTCTCTATGGGCTAAATCCAATAGAAATGCACCTATGAATAGGTAATTCATAGCGCCAAACCCATCCAATTTATTTTTTTAAATTTGGATTAAAAATACCAGTTGATTTTTCATTCAAAAATAATTAAGATCCCAGAAAAATAACCGGGTAAAAACCAGAATTCATTTTTCACAGAAGAGACAAAAAATTATTACAACTGAGTAACTTTATTTTTTGTGTTAGTGAGATATGTTTGATACATATAACTTACTAACACAAAAAAAGTAATAAAAAATAAATAAAATTACTCGGTTATAATCATTTTTTTGTCTTTCTTGCAAAGGATGTTTGATATCTTTGAAGGTAGAATTTTTTTGTCTGGGACTCCTGAGGGTCTGTAGATCATCCACCTTTAACCTGTATATTCCATGCCAAATCCATGTCTAAGATTTTCTTCAAATTTTGAGGGTCTATAGTGAAACCCGAAAAATGAAAAAATCTAAAATTTCAGCACTTTTTATGCATTTTTGCGCGTTATTGCGGCAATGATCGACGGCAATTTTCGACTTACCTGTCAGGGCGTGAAGAAAACACGTCTAAAATTAACTAGGTATTTACTAACTAACTCTCTCTTCTTTGCGTTTAACTTGTATCTTATAATAAATAGGTTAATAAATTTTAAATAGGTACTTTTTTAAATTGTTTTTAATACGATAAATAAAATTTAAAACAAATTAGTTAAAATAAATATTAATTTCATTTCTTCTAGGTAGGTAGTTAAATTATTTTTGTAGACTATAACCTAGGTGTTTGTAGTATTATTTCTGGACTGAAGGTAATTGATACTAATTAGTTAATGTACCTTGTATCAGGTACCTAATTAATATATCAAGGTAAAATAGTTAATCGTTTATTGCTAAAACAAGTTAACTGACTTTTTGCAATTTTTTCAGTTAATATTTTAAGTTTGTTGAGTTTGCAAAAAGTTAGTTTAACATTTATTCGAACAAGAAGAACTTTGGTGGCACTTATTATTGCATAATTTATTTTTTTTACAACGACAAGTACCTACTGTTTTTTCAGAACTTAGTACAACTGAATCTTTGGTAATCTTGCATAGTACCAGAAGAAATTATATTTCATTTTAAGTAAATCGTTGGTATAAAAAGTAACAGATTGAGTTGCATTAAAGCATTGCAATGGACTAATTCGCCCCGCCCACAATGGATATTAACTGAAATATTTAGTTATTATGCATAAAGACTGTTTTCGGATATTGGCGGTAACATATATAGTATAAATATTTATTTGAATATTTTTTGTTATCTTACAAGATAATATATAAACCAAATAGAAAATATCTTTAAAAATGTATTAAAGCATTTGCGGTATTTTATAAAAAAGAATACCTATTTATTTCAAATCAAAACTGACATTTTATAAAATAATATAGTTGTATAGATATTTGGTATATTAAATAAAAGTTAATAACGTTAATAAAACTTATATTTTCATATGTATTTAATACAATTGTAAAAACCATAGTAATCATTATAAAAACAAAATCACATTGTGTCTCTAGTTGGTGGTTTGTGAGCTAAATATAGAGTTAAAATGCTACCCAGAGCACTTACTAAAAAGATTACATCAAACCATCGATGGTAGAAACTAAACTGAAGAGCTCCTAATACTTCGGTAATTATTGTTCTGTACTGAACTGGCATATTCATCCGAAGTAGTAAAACTGAAGAAACAAAGTACATTCCCATTATTTGAGCCATAACCAACACAATAATGTTTGAACTTTTACTTGAAGACATTCTATTAAAAAACTAAAACAAATATTTTATTTATTTAGAGGGTTGGGAAACAATGGGAGACATCGGGTATATATTGCCCTGCTCAGCCCAAAGGCCGTATTTACAATATTAAGTAATAAAGCTATTACAAGTTGTAATTTACTACATGAAAACAATATATATATAATCAACTGCGCACCACTCAATGTGTCGCGACCAAAAAGTTCGTCCTTTTTCAAAACGACATAATTTTTTTGTTTCTTGAACGATTTTATTTTGGTCTGTGATGTCTGATAACCCCATCCTCTGGCAATTCATGCTATAGATTTTAAGCATACGGTTCTTCAAGTAAATTTCCTATAGGGTGATATGTAAAACGGTAAAAAATTTCAATAACTTCATCCAAGCCTTAGAGTTCTAACAGATCAAAATTCTCTTCTATCATTGGTTGGTCTGTTAGGATATTATAATTTTAAACCGTTTTTAAATAAGTGCGATAGAACAATTTAATAATGCTTTTTTTTTGTTTGTGTATTAAATTAAACAGGCATTTTTATATACATAGAACAGAAATTTTATGTACTATTTTTCTATCAAAAAAGCCGATTTCGCGCCAAAAGTGCTGTTAGAACATTATAATACTCAACCCACGATGTGTCAGCAAGAAAAAAAATTTTTTCGTTTTAAATGAAACACCCTAATATATATATATATATATATATATATATATATATATATATAAATAATCTATAAATAAATAACACTTAACCTATTCAGTCTCCTAAATTAATTATATATTCTTTAATCGCTTTTTTGAAATCTTTGGTGTTATGTTCCTTTAATTTCGCCGGCAGCTCATTGTATTTTTTTATTCCCTCATTCATCAGTTGCTTTTGACTACTTTTTGTTTTGGCTCTATCTATTCTTATTTTATCTCTGCTTCTAGTATTGTATTTATGTATTTCTTTTTGTTTGGTTAATTTTATGTCACTGTCCACAATTTCTTTTTTGTTGATCTTATTATTTTTAATGTTTCCAGTTGTTGTAATTCATTAATATTTAAATGCTTTGTTCTTTTATATACTTCTTTTGTTGCTGTATATTTTTTAATATTATATGGACCTTAATGATTTTGTTTTGTGCTCTTTTTAATTTATTTATTTCTTTTTTATTAGCTGTTCCCCAAAAAGGTATCATATATGTTAAATTGCTTTGCACATATGCGTTGTATAGCATTTTTTTATGTTTTAGTGTTATGTAATCTTTGACTCTATTTGCCATGTTTATTTTTGACGAGTTTTTTGTCCAATATTAGTCCTAGGTATTTGATTTCCTCCACTTTATCTAATATAGTTCCATTTATTTCAATGTTGATGTTGTGTTCTTTTACTGTATTTTCTATATGTATGAGGTAGCATTTCTTTTCATTAATTGTCAGTTTGTTTGCGTTTGTCCATTTTTGTATTGTTTTTATGTCTTCTGTTATTTTGTTTTTTACTTCTAGATCCTCACCCTCATAGAACATTGCAAGTCATCAGCATAGATCATGTGTTTCCCATTTAATTTATGCAAGGTTAGGTCGTTTATATATATGAGGTAAAGAAAAGGCCCCAGTATTGACCCTTGTGGTATTCCACAAAGTACTTTTAGATTTGTACTTGTACTTTCACCATTGGTTGTGTGTTGTTTTCTGTCTTTTAAGTAATTTGTAAAAAGTTTTAGCTCTTTATTTTCCACTCCTATATCTTTAAGTTTTTCTATGAGTATGTCTATGTCTACAGTGTCGAATGATTTTCGATAGTCCATTATTAGCCTAGTTATTGTCTTTCCCTCGTCTAGTTTTCTCCGTATATAATGTAACAAATTTAACATCGCTGTGGTTGTGCTTTTTTTGACTGAAATCCATGTTGGGATTGGGATAGCAATTTTATGTTTTGAGCATGAGCTGATAGTCTGTTGTGGATTATGGTTTCAAAAATTTTGCTAAAAACTGTTAGATTTGAGATGAATCTATAGTTATTAGGATCCTTTCTACTCCCTTCTTTGTGTATAGGTGTTAATCTGGCTATTTTTAATTCATCCGGAAACTCTCTCTTTTTTATATGGTCATTGATGAGTTTGACTAAGGTCGGCGTTATGATTTCAGCTATTTTTTTTATAAGTGATGGTTTTATTCCGTCATATCCGGGTGATGCATTTTTATTTAGTTTTTGTATTGCTTTTTTCACCTCAGTGTTGTTTGTTGGGCGTATATATAAAAGAGCTTCTATTGGGTATTCTTTGTTTTCAATTTTTGGCCCATTTACTTTGCTTGCTAAATTTTTTCCTATTTCTGTGCAATATTTAATTAGTATTTCCACTATATCTTTTTTATTTTTTACTGTTTTTTCTTTGTCTTTAATTTCTTTAATTTCATTTTTTTAAATTTCATTTGTTCCTTTTTGGATGGCATTTAGTATTTTCCATATTTTTTTGATGTTACCTTCACCTTTATTGATTTGTTCTGCATAGAACATTTTTTTGTTTTTTTTTATTAGTTTTTTAAACATGATCTGTTTGTGTTCATAGTTTAGTTTAAGCTGTTGACTTTCTTTGTTTTTTATCATTTTTTTGTACGCTGTGTCTTTTTTTCTTGCTCCTGAAAACTTCTTTGGTCATCCAGCCTTCATGAAACGATTGTACATATTTTTTCTTTATTTCAACTGTGTGTTTGTTTGTTTCTTTTGTTATTATGTCCTGTAGGTCTTTAAATGTTGTAATATTGTTCACATTAATTACTCTTTTTAGTTCATCTTTTAATTTTATTAAGTTCGTTTCCTTGTTTGTGTAGTATTTATTTTGTTTCTTTTCTTCTCTTATTTTAAAGTTCAATTCTATTTTTTTATGATCACTTAGTGGTGTATCTTTGAGTATAATTTCCTTATTTTTAAGATCAGTATTTGTTATTATGTGATCTATTATTGAGTGTCTTCCAGTAATTTTATTTAACTGGTACAGTGTTTTTTATTTATTTTATTAATGATTTTGTAGTTTTTTTCCTTTAATAAATCGATATATTTATTTGTTGTTTGGTCTGGTTCCAGTATGTTCATGTTTAAATCACCCATTATTATTGTTTTTTGTTTATCCTTTAATATATTATTGTCTATATATTCCATAAATTGCTCCCTATATCTTTTCTTAGGTTGTCTATAGATTGCATACAATAGTATGTTTATTTTGTTTATTTTGATTCCAAGAATGTTGTTTTTATTTAGATGATTTGTTTTTTCTATTATTGTTGTGTTTAATGTGTTTTGTGTATAGATTGCTACGCCACCTCCTTTACTGTACATTCTCCTTTAAGTGTGTTTCTGTGAGTATTAATATGTTTGGCTTTTGTTCTTTTAACATTATTTTTATTTCATTTGTTTTGTTTTTTATTGATCTTATATTTAAGTATAATATTTTATTTCCACCTTCTTAGTAAATGACATTTTATAGGTTAATTTTGTTGTTTTTGTATCCAAGTAAACGATACATTATGGGAACAGACCTGTAATATTTTACGGGCTTGTATAAAAGACCTGTAAAGTTTTACAGGCCTGTAGAAAAGCAATTTATGAAATGAAATGACACATTTGACACATTAAATGAAATTTTAAATTTGAAAATCGTTGTCTTAAGGTGAAAATAAAAGTTTGTACGTTTCACGCTTTGCAATTAATCTTTGCAAGGCTCACTGAATTATGGGGTTCGCTCCTGCATCGCTCACCCCACAAACTCCCAGCTCGCCCGTAAAGATTCATTTACAAAGCTTGACACGTAAATAACTATTAAAGACCTTATTATTTGTCATTAGTGGTTTTTTCCTTTTAATCTCTCTAGTTTTTCTTCGTTGTCGATTTCTTCGATTTTACTTGTTTCATCTTTTCTCATTAGAATTTTATTTTTATTAAACCACACAAATTTGAAATTTATTTCTTTTTTTAACTCTCTTGCCCTTTTAAACAGGATTTGATTTTCATATGTCATGTCGTGGTTTAGGAAAATGTCTCCATTGCCATTTTGTCCAATTTCTTCTCTTTTTATTCCTTTTTTGATTTTATAGTTTGAAAGTAAGTTTTCCTTAACTTCCATTGTGGAAAAAACTACCTTTATTATCGGTTTGTTGTTATTCTTTCCTATTCTTTGCATTTGTTCAATGTCTTTATCTTCTATTTTGCTGTTGCACTGCTCTCCAATATTTAAGATAACTTCCTTGTATTTGTTATCATCTTTTTTTGCCAATCCCATTATTATTATATTCTTGGCTAGTTTTTCTTGTTTGGTCTTATTTATTTCTGTGTTGCTGTTATTGTTTTAATATCTTAATAAAATCCGATTGCTGTCGTGTTTCTTGCATATTTATGATGAAAATGCCATTTGGGGATTCATTTTTTGGGCGAAATTACTGCAATTTGTTTGAGTGGTTAGGATAATGTTACATAACTTACATTTACATTGCGCAGTAGTGATAACATCATTGATAAGTACCTACCTAATTTATAATAAAGTTAAATAAAAATATTTTTGTTCATTTTTGAAAATTGTATGCGTAGATATAATCATAATCAAAACTTCAACATTCAACAGAAAAATGTAACAAACAATAACATTAATACCTTTCAATATTTCGTTGGCCCTCCCCTAAGCCGTAATCATTCGTTAACCCTCCTGGGCATTCCCTCGACCAAGTTTCTTAGAAATTTCTGGGGTACCCCATTCTTCCTAAATAGCATTTACCAATTCATCCAAATTTTCCATGCCTCCTTCCCTCTCTTTCATCTTCAATTTTATCTTGTTCCATACATGCTCATTAGGATTCATATCCGGAGACAAAGGTGGCCAATTCATTTTCTCAATATGGTGATCCCTTAAATACTCATTTACGATATGTAAAAAAACAGTAAAAACCAGCAATCGGATTTTATTGACACATTTAACAGCCGGGAATTGTTTTCGAATCTTGATTCTTAGTTATTTTGGTTTTATCTATCCAAAGTAAATATCGGTTAAGGTTTAGTTTTTGCAAACAAAAATGTCATTTTCAAAAAGTGGTCTTAGCTTAGGCCCTCTAAAAATAATGGAAGTATGTTGCTTGTCGCTTGTTCAGAATTATTTAAGGAACAATCTTTCACCATCTTATCTTCTTGTTCCTAAAAAGACTGAGTGTATTGCCTAAAAAAAGCCTTAAATGTACTCCTTTGGAAAAAAAAATCATATTTTCGTTGCTAAGATTCCAATTCGAAAAATTTTAAAAACGTTTCAAGGTAACACATAATACTTCATTATTTCAAAGTAAAAACGAAAAAAAAAATTATTTTTTTACAAACGGGGCTTGGATAAAGTTATTGAAATTTTTCACCGTTTAACATATCACCCTGTAGGAAGTTTACTTGACCAACCGAGAGCTTCATATCTATAGCATAAATTGCCAGAGGATGAGGCTAGCAGACAAAATTAAATCTTTCAAGAAACAAAAAAGTTATGTCGTTTTGAAAAAGAACGAACTTTTTGGTTTTAAATGGCTTTATACTCTTAAGTTTATAGTGTAACTGATACTTTATTTATAAGGTTTTGCTTCCCTGTGTATGTCTGTGGCGACCAATAGCGCATCCCTTTGACCACCACGACTGAAGAAGAGAGAGAACGAGAGAAAAGAGAATGGAAAAACTAACGTTTGGCGCGTTTGTAATGTTTGACAATGTAATTTATTGAATTGATAACATTATTTAATTTCTGATTAAATAAACGTATAGTGTTGTGGAATACAATATATTATAACGCATAGTATCATTTACATCTACAGTGGTGACCACGAACAGTGAACATAATGCACCAAGTTTGCCCCGGTCAACAACTTTTTGTGGTAGAAGCAAGACATTTTTGCAACGACATTTTGTAGTGCTACTTTCAGTGTTTGCAGTGCAAAATGACGGACAAAGAAGTAGTACCTACAAACTCAGCGTGGGTTTTTATACTACTACAACAGCAATTCGAGGCTTATATTCAGACAAAACACCAAAGCTTCCTCATTTCTGGCCTGGTGATCCTGCATTATAGTTCGCACGTAGATTTAATTCGAGTTGGCTGGAGTACCCAGGATTCCACCAAATTCAGCCACGTATACATTATAACCGCGCATTTAGACAACACATATGCTTTCGAAGTGAAGGATATAATCCTCCGCCCTTTAGATGTCGATAGGTATAAGAAACTTAAACATGAGCCAATTGCACGTTTTTCTAAAACGGCAGAACAACGAGTACGTCAAGTGCTGTCCCAAGAGGGGCTAGGTGACCGAACTCCAGCGCAGTTACTAAAGTGGCCTAGCTGATTCCGACCGAAACCCCAAGTCTCTGTTAAAGACTACATGGATTGCTATACTGCCTCCACAGTTACAAACTATCATTGCTTTTTAAATTGTCACAACCCCTCCTGAAACGATAGCCCTATTCTTGTGACCGAAAGCAATGACACCCTCCAGCACCAAGATCAACAGACCAATACTGCCTTCCTAAGCCAAAAAGACGCATCTCAAAATTTAGATACGTCCAATTGGATTAGGCTCTTTATTTTTTCTTGAAATAATAATAATAACAATACTTTATTAATCCAACAGACAACAGTCCTTATAAAGAATATAAATTATTTAGGTTACAGTGACAAATTACAGTAATATGTTGACAAAGTTAAAATTGCTAAGTAGGACAAAATAACATAAATAAAACAACTCAGGATAATGAGCGAATAATTCGAATAAATGAATTTAAATTATAGTTAAAATTATCACAATTAGACCCCTTATTCAAAATTTTGTTATAAGTTATACACATCGACGTCAATGTAGAACGCATGTGCTGCTTGTTTGTGTAAGCATTTAAATAAAAAGTCTTGCATTTACTCTAGGCACGTGAATATTGATTTTTAGTAGTCGTTCAGGGTCTAATATTCATTCATTAATTAGCTTATATAAATATGATGAGTGAATATAAATAATTATAGGAAATATCATTAAAAAAATATGAGTGTTACACCACTAGTGGCGTGATACACATCAGATTTTACACCTTTAAACTCAACGTATTGACCTCTCTTCGAAAGATTTAAATAATGAAATCATTGACCTAGAAAAGCCAAAGGAGTCTAATTTGTTTAAAAAATGCCATGGGAAATTTGGTCAAAATCGGTGTAAATCACATCCACTTGTTTTTTGATTATTATTCACAAGATTTTCACATTCGTCGGGCTTTACAAACACTTCACTAAAAAAGAAAACATAGGTCTTCTTTAATTAGTATTTTTTAAGTACTGTTATTGTGGGATTTGTTGTCGGTTTGATCTTGGTTGGATTTAGAGACTTAGGAAATGAACAGTGCACTTACCATGTAGAAAATGTTTAGCTAATGTGCCAGAAAGTTCAGGGATGACTCGAATGAAAGTAACATTAAAAAGAATAATGAAAATTGGGAAAACTTGTCTGGCTCGTGGATGCCGGTTACACTTCACCTTAACTCTCTGGTGGCGCTGCTTGGACTGACTCGTAGTCACTGACTAGTCAGCTGTTGCTAAGCAGGGCCGGATTAATTGGTAAATGTAAAAAAATGGAAGATTGAATTATAGTAAATTATATTACTATAACAGTACTACCGTAGTTACATTGCGTTTTTTATGCTATAGGAATAAGTTAAACATTCTATGTGGGATCTTTACGAATTGTAAAATGTATTTTTGGCTTAGGCAGAATAGGTTATGTTGGTACCATCATAAATATGGTGATAATGCTCGCCATCGTAACAACAGCCAGTAATGGCACATTGCCTGTGCAGATTCTCTGCGCCGTCTACACGTGTCTGATTGTAAGAGACGGGTTCAATTTTTATTAGATACCGGCTTTGATCTATGCGATTTGTAACGATGCACATTACGACATCTATGAGATGATTTTCCAAACTACCCGACGTCAAGGACAGAGTTGGAATACCAGAAACTTGCAGTTCGACTAAAACGTTTGCACCCTGTTCGTGTGACGGATGTCAGTTCTCTCGGCCCCAATTGTTTTTCAACAAGTCTGCCACCGGAATTTCGGCTATAAAACCACTGCATTTTTTAATGGACAAGCAGTCGTCTGGTGTCTCAATTCCAAATGGTGTTATCAATTGTGAGCCCGAAAACCAAGACTAATCCACAGAGAAATCTCAGTGAGATATTATCAGTAAGTTGACCTGTTTCTAATATGCCAGGGCTATAGGTCGTATTACATTAGACATTAGAAAACTGTAAATCCTGCAACGCCGTCGGTGGACAAGTGGTTAGTGCTGCTGACTACAAGCCGGAGGTCGTGGGTTCGAATCCCACCAAGGGTATGGCTGTTTATTTGTGTTTGTCATATTGTGTAATAGTCCTTCGGAGGGGACTTTAAGCCCGCGGTCCGTTCCTACCCCTAACCCGCACAAAGAGCACTTTTGTATGTATGAACATAACCTAACTGTATTTCTCCTCTAGAGACAAATTGCAAGCATGCTTTGTCTCTCTGTAGGACAGAAAACCCTGCCTGTGCCTGGCAGTTGCCTGTGAATAGCCGTGGAACATTTGCCTGACCTAACCGAAGCCATAAGAACTAGAAATTGTGTTTAAAGTCTACGATACTTTTGTAAATACTGTATATATAGATTATTTTATGATTTTGTACATATTTTTGCCTTAGTAAATAAACCAGTTTAAGTTATTTTTGCATTTTAAATTAAACCACCAACCCTGACCTTTTTATAAACGTTAATTTCTCTTATGAATAAAAGCAACCCGAGGTAGGTGTTCCTCTGTATCTGGAGAGTCAACCGGAAAGGAACCTAGGTAGAGTACTTAAGGCCATAAACCAGCCTAGGTACGACACAGATTCAAATACCGTTCTTCACGCTTTTCTTACGAACTTGTCGCAGCCAAATGCACGACAATTTCCACCTATGACGCAATTAATCTTCACCTAGATTTAGGACTTAGGATTTAGGATTTTTATGGCGTTTACAAGCTCATAATAGGAGTGAATTTTTTATATTTCTACGACCTCCTAGTTGATAAAGGCCAATTCTGCCTAGTAGACAATACAACTCTTCTGAATACCTCCGGCACTACAGCTGTGCCAAACCAGCTTACTGTAAAAGCCGTCTCTGAAGCTAGTCCTTTTGCTGCCTTTCTGTCAGAGTTTCCAGATTTAACACGCCAAGACCCATGGTACAAAACACCACAACCGCGTACCGGCCAGTTAATGTCCGCACCTTCCCGGAATGCTACCCAGTGAGAAAGGTAGAAGATTTTTATGCATTCATGTCTCGATGCAATTTCTTTTCAAATTGTAAAAGCCTTTTTGCAAATCCCAATGTCCCCTGACGTAAATCCCAATGGTCCCTGACTTAGCCCAAAAACAGCCATCATCATCCCTTGGCCTTTTTGAGTTTCTTTTCATGCCATTCGGTTTAAGAAACATACATAACAAAGGTTTATGGACCAAGCCCTTACTGACTTGACCTTTTACACATGTTACATTGATGACATCCTCATTGCTTCCCATTAAGTCAGAGTACAGAACCCATTTCCGTATTGGGTTGCAACGACTGCCGAAAACGGAATTTTAATAAACAAACAAATGTTTTTTGGTAGCCCCAGACCTTACGAGACGACACCTGCCAGACTCGAGGCATTCAATTCGTGCAAAACTTACCTGGCTGACGCAACCATGCTTGCCCTTTTTACCGATGCCTCAAAAATCTCCATGGGAGGCGTCGTTCAACAACTAACATGCGACGTTTGGCAAGCTCTTGGATTTTTCTCGACTACATAGGCCAATATTCAACACGTGCCCGGCGCCGACAATGTTGTAGCCAATGCCCCCACAGTAACCGAAGCCATTACCAGAAGACTACATAGAACTTTCCGATACTGAAACTCCAGCTTTATCCAATCTGGGGCTTAGTTACATCCATCTACTGCGACACTTCTGGCAACCGTCTCACGCCTTTATTAAACCAAATATGCTCCCTTTTAATTGATGACTTTTGTCGTATCTCCAATAGATTGCTTAAGAACTTCTGTGGGTTTTGGGCAAAACATTAAACCAAGTTTTTTACTAACTTTACACCATTAATTAAGTTTTGACGAGATCTAAACAAATAGTAGCCCTATAGTGCAAGGTTTATTCTATTCGTTAGATACGTTAAGATCTAGATCACTGGCTGTTACTACTTTTTTAAAAAGTAATCTATGATTCAAACGCACTCAAGTAATGTAATATTTCCAGAGAGATGCGAATTATGTGTTATCTATAGGCAAAACGACGAGAAGTTTTTAGACTATAGTTAGGAGTACCTAATATAATAATATAAAATAGTATGGTATTTAACAAAAAAAAAATGAGCAGTAGAAGCCAGGGGAGCGATTTTCAGTCTGTATTAAACAAAGTTGGTTTTCTTCCCCGGAAGAAGATTTAATTGCGAAGCGATACATTACTGGACATTCTATAGGCATACTTGATAATAAGAACTTATCCTAATCGATACCTCTGCCTAGGTAAAACATCAAAAATAACCGTTTCTGATTTAATGCCAAATTAAAGTATATCACTATATAAGCCAAATTTTTTTGAATATACCAAATTGTATAAAAGTTTCTTTAGCATAGATTCGCAGTTTGGTTTTCATATTGATGCTAATCAAGCGCACTGATATTAGGTAATCAGTAAATATTCTGTTTGTAGATTGTCTGGATAATAAAAATTATAAAAGAATATTTTACGCCAAGTGCTGCCATATACCTAAATAAAATATTTTGGTAGTATATTTACCTTTGTTAAAGTTAATAGTAATCCCCTTATAGATGTAAATACAATAGCACCAACCAAATAAAATGATACTTGTTGCGACCAGAAATTGACATCAAAATTGAACCCCATCCAATGAATAGCTATTTCAATACCCCTTGTAACAGGATCCTTTTTACCCACTCTATCAAAAACAATATTTATTGTACACTAAAAATAGAATAATAACAAGATTATGTTAAAAATATTAATAGTTTAATAACTTACAATAAGTATTTTCCATAAACAATATCCAGAAAATATGTATCCCAGAAAATTAAAATATATTCCCTTCCATGTTTTTGACCATTCAATTCTTTCCAACATATTTCGGTTTTCATGGACTTCTAAAAATATCTGCCTACTTACTTCTTCTAAAACTTCTATTTCAAATTTTAATTGAGTTAAATCTAAAATAAATATACTCTTTAAAAAAATTGTATGTATTTAAATTAGGATATATAAAGTTTATTTATAAAGGTATTGCGTGAAATGGATTAGTGGTGTATTGTAGGAGTATTATACTATAATAGTATACTAAGACATAGGGTGGGTTAGAGATAATTTAAAATACAGTTAAGATAATTTTATATAATGTATTAGTTCTAAACTCGCATGGAATAGTTACTTAAGATATAAAAAAAACAAATAAGTCTGAAACGTTCAAATCGGCCAACTTGCTGTGTGGATACGGGTGTACCGTTCTGCAGGAGCCACATGTGCTTTAAACCCAATCTATCAAGTAATTAATCATGCATATGTAGCGCATAACGATCAGACGTTTTATTGGATATCTACCATCACAGCAACAAAACTTCGTACGTATATAATTCAAGTACCTAATTGTTTTATTATTTTAAAATCTTAAATGTTAAATAAAAATTTAACCGAAACATTTAACAATCTTAGTTGTAATTAAAGGCATTTTTTCGCTTAAATACTATGAAATACTATGGTTATTAAACTTAACCTTGGTTAATAGTTAATGTATTTTCGCGTTTAGAGTGCGTTCCAAAATCTTAACTACGATGTCACATTAACTAGACCATAAAACTACCTCGGCAACCGGCAACCGGCAAACCGTCTTTGTGGAGTTTAATTAATGAATACATTAATGGTGGACTTGGGTTCATAATAGTTAATTTAAATATATCTGAATCTATAAAAATACTTTTTGCATTTTTTATAATATGTCTGACTTCTTCGTTAAATTTCTTAGTGGGGTCTTTAGTTAAAATTGAATATTTGTCTGGTGTAAGGAAGTTATGTGTTTTTTCCAAGTAGTCTGTTTTCTTAATTGCAATAACTGTTTGTCATTTGTCGGCTCTTTGATACACTCAGCTGCTGAAACATATTCAGATTCTGTACTAGATACAGTTACAATAGGCTGTCTACGTGAACACCATCCAATTGATCCACCACAGTAAAAAATAACAAACCCACTTGTACTTTTTCTTGTACCTATTTCTCCTGCAAAATCAGCGTCATAGTAAGCTGTTAATTCTGTTATTCTGTTATAGATATTATCTGTATTGCTTTAAAATTTTAATCCTTGATTGGGGTATGTTTTTAGATATTTCAGAATTCTTTATATTATTAACATCTCGTTCTGATGGTTCTTCCATTTTTCGACTACTATAGTTCACCGAAAATGAAATATCTGGTCTCGTTGGATTTGACAGATACAGCAAACTACCAATTGATAAAAATAGGTAATTAATATTAAAATTGTATAAGGTTAGAAAACAGTTGAAGGTAGTAACCAAGGAAATGAAAAATATTGAAATATAACAGTCAGTCGAATATTAAAAACAGTTAAAAATATAATCTGCTATTTTATTGAAATCTAACAGGTTATGGTCCCAGGCAAGTTTGGGGTTTTAAAAATCTGAATAAGATATTAAAATAAAATAATAAACAAATAAAATCTGTGTGAAAATTTAAAAAATAAAATCTGAGTGTAACAATAATAAAAAGTCAGAAAAATGAGTCTGTTTTGATCGAAAAATGAATGGATACATAAAGTTTTGAAATATGGAAATTTCAGATTTAAATAGTATTTAAATCAAACGGACAAGATAAAATTGTAAATGGAACTAAAAAATTGGCTGACTGCATTGAAGATAAAGATAAAACTGAGTGGAAAAGAAAGGATGCGAAAGCCCAAAAGATAATAATAACCACCATCAATAAAAAGCTGCTTATGCACATAATAAATTGTAAGACGTCAAAAGATAATATGTTTGAAAAGTTTTGTAACATTTTTCAGAAAAATACCGAGCAATAAAAATGCAATACCCTACAAGAATTTTTTAATTATAAATATCAAAAAGGATTGGATATGTCATTGCATATTACTAAGATTGAAAGTTATAAATTATAAATTTAACAACGAGATTGATCTTAGAAGAACACAGAAGAAAACAGAAAGAAGTAAGTGATGAAAATGTTACATTTAAAACTGAAGAGAAAAATAAAACAGATTGGAGAAGAAATATCCAGAAAGAAAATGCTATCAATGTGGAAAAATAGGGCATATAGCCAAATATTGCAGATCTTTGGAGAAAATAAGGTGCAAAATTTGCAAAAACAAAAACAAACATGATTCGAATGACATGAAAACTAATCAGAAAAATAAAGTTGCATTTTTGACACAAATAGAAAAAGGTTCCAAAACTGAATTTATTGTAGATTCTGGTTGTGTTCCGTAATTTACTGCCATTACTATCAGTAATTTTACTGTCAGTAGCGAAAAAAGACCGTTACGTAATTTATTCAGTACTGACGCAATAGTAAAATTGAAACGCGCCTCAGTAGCAGCAAAAAGTGACAAAGGTTACGCAAGGTTATGATTTGTGATTTACTGACATTTGACAAACTTTACTTTCGGCACAGCAGAGAACATAAATAAAAAATAAATATAACAGTTATAAGAAATATAATTTTTGGTTTAAGGCAGAGAAATATGGAAAATAAAATGTTATCGTCGTCCGCGTCGAAAAATGTATATATGAATAGGAAATATAAAATTTCACTGACACCACAATAATACGCCAAAACCAAAAATTTCTTTTAAATTCGTACGCTGAATACAAATATATAACATTTTCTAGGTAGTATTATACTACCTACTAGTATAATACTAGTAAGTAGTTAATATTCTGGGTCTTCGTATGCGTACTCCCCGGCGACCTGCCTGCCATCCTCCTTTAATTAATAATTCGTGTCCTTCGTCACTGCTGCTTGTACTTTCAAGTAATATTTTTTCAATAAATATTGAAATATTAAGTCCTAGGTATTCACCAAATACCATTATATCCTTCACTTTATTTGACAGCTATTTTTTATGTTTAAAAGTTTGGTTATGTGTTTTACTGGAGCCACAGCACCTCTCTATCTCCAGTTGTTTCAGTAAAATTAATCCGCCGTACATTTATAAAAGGGTAGTATTTACCATTGAACTCAGTAACTAAAAGTGGATTTCGGAATGCGTTTTCAGTACTGACAGTAAATTACGGAACACAACCTCTGGATGTTCTTCACATATTTCAAATAACAAAGAATTGTTTAATTCTTTATATGACAGTATATACGATATTTATATGGCTAAGAAAAATGAAAAAATGACTTCAGAAGGAAAAGGACAAATTATTACTGAAAAATGCATATTAAATAATGTAACTTATGTCCCTGAACTAAGCAAAAATCTTTTATCAGTTAATGCAATAACTGAAAAAGGCGGACAAGTGACTTTTACAAAAAATAAGGTTTATGTGACAAGAAATAACGAAAATTTAATTAGTGGAGAAAAACAGGAAAATGGACTTTACACGATTATACTAAATACATCAAAAGAAGAGACATTTCTAGTAGAAACTAAAAAATCAGTACAAGAGTGGCATAGAAAACTTGGACATCTGAGTGTTAATAATAATTAAAAAGTTATTAGATATTTCAAGTGGAATGAATATAACAAAAAGTGACTGTAACCATTTTGAAAAAGTATGTGAAAATTGTTTGGAAGCCTAACAGATTCGATTTCCATTCTCAACAAAAAGACAGCAAATTTGTAAAGTTTAAGAAAATGTTATTAGAATAGAGTAGGTAGTTGTTTTTTTTTTTTAATGTTAATAAAAATTAGAAGAGGGTTTTAGTTAAAATAGGTAATTTTTATATTTTTATTTTAATATCAATTAGGAGGGGGTGTTAAAAATAGGTAATTAATATTAAAATTTTAAAGGATTTAATATCCTTTTATTACCTAACTACTACTACCTAACACAATATTTATTGTGTTTCCCGAAACCAAAATTTATTCTACTACTAAACTAAACTATTACTACTACTAGTTTCTATTATGTAGATTCTACAGGTAATACGCAAAGTTTGACCAAAGGACGTTTCATTGTACCTCGAGTCGTGCGAATTGTGGCCACTCTCGTAATCCCGTCAGTGCCCTTATGCAACCCAACAACCCTACCAAGAACCCATTTCGTAGGAGGCAAGTTTTCTTGTTTAACAACCACTAAAGAACCCTTCTTTAGAACTTCATCGGAATAATGCCATTTATGACGCTGTTGAAGAGTCTGAAGATACTCACTATTCCAACGCCGCCATATATTTTGATGGAACTGTTGTCGTCAGGAGAAGCAGAAACAGGCTCCATATTCAAAAAATGGTTTTGAGTGAGGGCAGAAAAGTCATTAGGATCCGCGCTGAACGCCGTCAAGGGGCGCGAGTTCAGGACCGCTTCTATCTGGATAAGAAGAGTAGACAACTCCTCAAATCTGCTCGCCGATAACCCGAATTAAATGAGTTTTCACGGACTTAATGGCCGCTTCCCAAAGACCTCCCATGTGGGGTGCAGCAGGGGGATTGAAATGCCACTTAATTGCAAGGGAATCACAAGTATCCTTTAACAACGCAAACAAATTATCTGCTCCTACAAAATTGGTGCCACAATCACTGTGTATGTCTGATACTCGTCCTGCGAGCTACAAACCTACGAAATGCTGCAACAAATGCCTCCGTACTGAGGCTTGAAACAAGTTCAATGTGTACTGCCTTCGTGACAAAGCACACAAATATACGATTTAAGAGATTTAGCTCCTCGGTAACGCCCCATAGTAACCTTAAATGGACCACCCATGTCAAAACCACAACGTGCAAATGCTTTTATCTGAGAAACCCTATGAGCAGGGAGATCTCCCATACGAGGTAACAGAGGTTTAGGGTGGGCCCTAAAACATCTGAAGCATGAGGACAAACAGCGATAGATTGCTCGTTTCGCGCCAAGAATCCAGAACTGTTGCCCAATGAGGTATTGAAGAGTTTGAGGTCCAGGATGAAGAAACCTTTCATGAAAACTACGAATGATAAGGTCCGTAAGCGGGTGTTTCTTGGGTAAAAG